AATTAAAACAAATTGCGGAACTTATCAAGTCGCACGTTACGTTCTCAGCTTCAATTGAACGCAATGGACGTTCTTCATTACAATGGATACATCCTGTAATCGCTGACAACGCATTGGTGTAATAAGAACACATTAGATCGACCAGTTTGTGATCGCAATTATGCGTCTCGACTCGGAAAAGACGCAGTTTCCGATATCAAAATCAAGCTGCTGGAGATAAAAACCCGGATACCTTTCATGAAAATGAAAAGGGTGTCGTGTTGCAGAAAACTTTACATACAACTTACAATCCGCATCCTCCACTATTATATCTGGCCAATCGTTATATACGGCAGCGAGGTATGGACCATCAAAGAGGAAACCAGACTCGATTGCGTCTCGACGCATTCACGTCCCACGTCTTTGCAAATTAGCTACTTTTATATGTAGTGACGTGATGCACAAGACGTGCACCTGGAGGTAAGCGACACACCTGTCCGTAGCAGTTGCAATTTAAAGCTCAGAGCTTTAAATTGCAAAGATCTGAGGGGTACTGCGACTGCGCGCGTCACTCCGAGACATAAATTAACAAGTCCCATGTGACTGTAATTTCACCCTTAAAAAAGTTGCTTTGTCTTGAAAAGTAACGTTTTTGCATATGTGGCCTTATTCCACCTAGAGTACGATTTTATATTCATTTCATATTTACAAAAGTACCATAAAGTACCATATGTATGAATGAATAAGTACACAACAAACCGGTAAAAAAACAAACCGGTTGTAACAACAATAGAAATTCATTAACCCTTAATAGAACGTAGCATCTTTTACGAAGGTTTCAGAACACGTAATATGGGCATTTAGGGTTCTCTCTCCAGAGTGTCCTGATTCCACGTGAAAGCTCGTTACAGACCACCGAGCGTGCGAGCGAGAACGCCACGCTGGGTGGCCGTGCAGCCTGCGCCTGCGCTGGTTGCATCACTTCAAGTACAGTCAAATGCGTTTTTATCAGTGGTTATATAAAACAGTAAGCAGCGAAATAGTATAGGATCTGCAATATTCTGCATTAGTTTCCTTATAACTTTTTCACGACACTTTGATTGAATTTGTGCAGTGTGTCCTCAGACGGGACACGTGCGAAGCAAGTATAACCGAATATCATTATTTTTTCTGTCAAAACATTGTCACGGTTGCGTCACACGTCTGAATTGAATTATAGGGACTGTAAACGGCTTGATGATTCGTGTCGTACGTGTGCGGACATACTTAGAGTTGATCTGTAATTTTCCCACCCGATTGTACTCCAATAATGACGGCCAAACAATGATCTATTATTTCAGCACTGCGTCAGCGCACGTACCAATTTGCATATTCTTCTACACAGATTGATCTCAGCTTTAATTTTCTCACGTAGTCTTTAAGTCCTTAGGCAAAAAATATGAACAACCTACTTTCGGAGTTAGTTAATTGTTTTGATTGAAACATCTATCAGTCATTCTGCTGGTAAGCGACACGCATGTTCATAAAAGTTGCAGTGTCGCTCAGAGCTTTAAATCACAAAGATCTAAGGGGCACTGCCATTGCACCCGTCACCCTGAGATACAAGTTGACAAGCCCCATGTGCCTGTAATTTCTCCAGCACCGTTACCCTTCAAAACTGAAATGCAATAATGTGTTTGGTGGCAGAAATAGGTACCTAAGGAGGCAGTTTACTTTCCTGGACTAACTATTTCACTTTATGCTTAAATAGGAATGTTATAATTTTGTCAGGAAGTAATCACACTTAATACAGTTTTCGTGCCGGGGAAAGAATGAAATATTTTTATTACACATTGCGAATTGCAATAGCACAGCAGAACAGAACCATTCGCCCAATACCATAATTAAGCAATTTTTGCCTTAGCAATTGTTAGTTTTTAAAAAGTAAAAAGATGAAAACGTATTGATTTTTAACTGACTTTAAAAGGAGGAGGTTCTCAATTCGACTGCACGTTTTTTTTGTATGTATGTTATGCGATAACTCTATATTATATATCTACGGTCCGCGGACTAAAGCGCGTAAGTCAAAATCCAACATCATTCATTTAAATTAATACATCTACCGGCCAAAGCATATAAGTCCAATTCATTTGTAACTTTATTCTAGAGGCGTCTTTTTTCAAATTTATCATTCTCTTCATATCTTCCAATACTATAAATAACACAAAAAATTATATATTAACAAATTAAGCACTTTTTTGACTTATGTGCTTTACTCCGCCGATCCTACATATATATATATAAATATATATTAATTTGTGAACCGATTTTGATCATTCTTTTTTATTACAAATATATTTTTTTATTTTACTTTTTTATTTTAATATAAATATTCCACCTCTAAGCTGGCAAACTAGGGGAGGAATGACTTTTGAGGTCGTGTTTTTAGTAGTTTATACTTTTTACTTATTTTTTTCTTTTTCTTTTTTAAGAAGTATGAATAGATTAACAAATATGCAATAATTTAATCATACACTTTTTTTAACTTTTCGTGGACATTGTTGCGAATGACCACTTGCACAGCAGGCTCTTGCGCTTGGAATGTGTAAATACTGATAGGGTTAATTATTATAAGTTTCCATGTGTTCCAACGATACCTACTTTAAATCTCGATGCCCTAAAATAAATATTTAATTACAATACTTCAACAAGGTTATGATAGAATAACAGAGGCCGTGGGTTCCCTGCAACCACTGAGTCATAGACCGTTTTGTCTTGTTAATTAACTCTGTCTCTGATTTTATTATAAAATGTATTACTGTTTTTAAGACAAATAAATGAGTTTATTATTATTATAATGAAGTACAAGTTTTTTTTAATATATGATTTCTTTTTAAGCACCTACACATGAAATATCGTACGCCCGGAGCTGGTGTATTGTGTTTACCACAATCGAACAATAAATATATTCTATTCTATTTTTTATTTTCATTTTCTTTACTTTTGTTTGCTTTACGCCACCCACATATTGCGTTCAATCAACCAATCTACATTGTACCTCGTCGGATGAAGCGATCATGAGTGTAAAAAACCGACCGATTTCTTCCCGCGTTACGTGTCTTAATAATTTCATCTCAATAATCGGTGTGAGTTGAGCGCTGTGTGAGGTGTTGCCTTAAACGAAAATTGGTGTAGAGTCGACCTTATTCTTGTAGGTAACTGTTACATGTTACTTATACAAGTAACAGTTACTTTGGATAATCTAGCTGGGATTTGAAAACAACTTTGATATTTTAAAAATATTACTAATGTAGAGTTTTAAACATATTCTGACATTTGATGGTCCGACAACGACACTGTAGCCCTTTTGGCATGTATTGACACGTTCTGTGCCATCATGAGATGTCGTGTCCTCCAAATTTAAACTTATGTATTTATTTTTTATTGATTTGACTTTAATTTTGTGTGGCATTTTAAATATTTGTTTTTTTTTTTCTAAATGTTACTTCATGTTTTGAAATTATGAACTGTATTTTCCTACAATGATCTACGGATTGAAATAAATAATTATTATTACTGTTAAATGACAACGTGATATATTAATAGATAAATTAATTAACTGTATATTTTTGTGGTGATTATACATTTTGCGGACTTTATTTGATATTTTACTTAAGGTTTTTAAATATATTCGGGAGGTGAGGTACTAAAATCACTTAATGTTGCATTTTACCCTCCAAGTATATACCAAGTTGATGTTGTTATTCTGTTCTGATGAATTTAATTAGAATTCAGTTTGTAATCAGCTTCAGGTACGTACGTATTGAATGGCCGGTGAAAAAGTGACTTAATTAAAATTTGCAAAAGTTTTGTAGAAAAGGATATTCAATTATTTTTTGTGAAATTACTCCACTAGTTTGTTATAATTATTAATACAAAGAGCGAACACTCAGAAAAAACACTCAGAAAAAATTCCGTCGATCCGGTCGGATTCGAACCGACGTCTTCTTGCATATTTGATAAATCTGTCATAGATTTCTCATAGATGGCGCTACGACTAAAAGTCGTTGAAAGACCAAGTACAAAGACACGACGCAAGCACATAGAAAAATTCGTGAGGTCCGTTGGTTCGTTCCGTGGCTTAGTTGGTATAGCGTCTGAAAGATAAACCGACAAACTGGTACACTCTTTTATTTGTTTTTTGTTACTTTTCCTTCTTATTTCAATAAGCTTTGGTACCTCGTAAAGATTTTTTTTATAACATCAAGCGACGGGACGTCGTGTGCCTGATGGTAAGCTACACGCCTGTCTATAACAGTTGCAGTGCCACACAGAGCTATAAATCGCGCCCGTCACCCTGAGACATAAGTTGACAAGTCCCATATGCCTGTAATTTCACCAGCACTTTACCCTTCAAAACCGGAACACAGTAATAATGACATAACTGCTTGGCGGCAGAAATAGGTAAGGTGGCAGTACTACCCTGGACGAACTCTTTCACAAGGAGCTCTACTGTTACTAAACTTACCAACATCATCGGAGGCGGAGGTGCCGTAGAATAACAGTAACGTAACTGTTACCGGATCACCTCTACAAAAGCCCAAATCGATATTTACAGCGTAAGAACACGCGATTCGTCAGTTATTAAAACAAACAACGCACCGCGTGTCAGAATATCACTAAATACAAGTCTTGATGGAATAATTTATTACGTTATTACCAAAAAAATATGCGAAATAAGAATGGAAGTTTGAAATCATGAAAAAAATACAACTGTTGGTTAGGGTTTCGTGAAAATTGAAAAGGAAACTACTTTTTTTTCGGATCTCATCATCATCATCAATCCATTTGTACGTCCCACTGCTGGACACAGGTCTTGTTTCAGGCGAGGATTTAAGCAATCCTGGTTGGGAACTTCACAAGCTTTTAAATTAAACTGCGCACATAAATTCAGAGGTCAGAGGCAGGATTTGAACCCACGACATCTATTTTATCGAATTCGTTTTTGGATCTAAATTACGTATACTTACAATACGTCATATTTAGCCTGATGTATCCCATTGCTGAGCAAAGGCCTCCTCCTGATCCCTCCACGCATCCCGATCTTGAGCTAACTGGACCCAAGCCTTGTCGTAGGCGTCTAGTTCGTCACGCCATCCTTTCCTCGGTCTGCCGCGGTGCCCTACGCTTTTGGGGCTCCACTGGATGGTTACCTCGGCCCACAGGTCTTCAGGCGTGCAGCAGACATGACCAGCCCACCTCCATTTCAGCTTCGCAGCTTTTTGGGCTACATCAGCAATCTGAGTTTGAGAGCGCAGTGTCGTGTTCCGAATTCGCTCGGTCCGTTTCACACCAAGTACGTTGCGCTCCATACGTATACTTTTTCGTTATGTTTTTGTAAATAAATTAACGTTTCAAACTCTTTACCTTAAGGCGACGGCTGACTGAGAGCCTAGATTGTCTGATAAACAAATGTAAGCGATTAGATCCGGAAAGAATCCTTTCATTTCTTAAGTGTTAAGTAAAGTTGTCTGTGGCCATTTTGAAGAAGGCCTGTTCTTAACTTGTCGTCTTCAGAAACTCACAAATTCATTTAAGAGGCGATATATACGCTTCTATAATAAGATTCAATCAATCAATTAATTTCATTGTCAGATTTTTTGTGTCACTCAGAGTCTTAAATCGCAAAGATGTTAGGGGCACTGCCACTGCGGCCGTCACCTTGAGACATAAGTTGACAGGCCCCCTTACCCTTCAAAACCGGAACACAGTAATGCTGACATTACTGTTTGGCGGCAGAAATAGTTAAGATGGCAGTACTTCTCTTTAGATTTTTTTTTTCCTTTTAGAATAAGGTACATTACGATCTTATTTGAAATAAATCCAGCTTATTCTACCTTAGTTGTCCTGCAAATGTAGGTATATGTCATACGACTAATTAATATAATTACAATCAATGAGTTAAAATTTATGAAATTGTCAAATATTGTAAAATAAGTAAAATTACAAACGATATAAAAATAAATTTAAGAATAGTAGTCAATAATAATTAGTGTCAAGGAGTAAAAAGTACCGTTTTCTCATGAGTCATAATGATCACTGAAGTACTATTTAATAAGAAAGCTAACAGTTTTCTTTTAAGATTCCGGTTGATGTTGAAAATTTGCCATTCACGAGGTTTATAAACTACAGTGAAACTAAAACTTTTGCGTACTTGGATGACATAAATCCATAAAAAGTACTTATGTTATGTAAGTACCTACATGTACTCAAAATGTTTTATTTTTCTAAAGCCTGAATAAGGAATTTATTATTATTATAGTTTCGGCATAATCCTAAGTTGTAATTGATACGTAGGCACCGTCTGTTAAAAATGATGAGAGCTTTGTGACACAATTCTTAGTTGAATCATTGATTGCTCACCTCGTCATTTAATGATGATGAATAAAAGGTTTTTTTATAATATCAAGTGACGGGACGAACAAGATCGTGCGCCTGATGGTAAGCTACACGCCTGTCCATAACAGTTGCAGTGCCACTCAGAGCTTTAAATCGCAAATATCTGAGGGGCACCTCCACTGCGCCCGTCACCCTGACACATAAGTTGACAAGTCTCATGTGCCAGTAATTTCACCAGCGCCCTTACCCTTCAAAGTCAAAGTCAAAGTCAAAGTCAAAGATTATTTATTCCATAGGTAAAATAAATTTACACTTGAAATCGTTACATTTAAGCTACTGCTCGTTCACTACGCTGACCTCCCTGAGAAGAACGAGCAAGAAACTCTAGGGATTGCTCTTTTCAAATAAACTTAAATGCTATGGAATACACTTTGAATCAAATTTGAATGGATTCTGGAGCCGTGTCGTCTTTCCATACATCTTTATGTAACAACAACAAAACCGGAATATAGTAATGCTGACATTACTGATTGGCGGCAAAAATTGGTAAAGTGGCGGTATCTACTTCCCTGGACGAACTCTTTCACAAGGCTGCTACTAACCCTCTCCATGTATCCATTGTCTTGGTCCTCCTAGATAAAGAATGTGCAGCAGGGGCCATGTTTCTTAATAACCACATCTACAATCCCATTTACATAGAAAACTGCTTGTATAATTCACACTTTTTTTCTCTATCCTTCGAAGAAAAATATACCAATTATTATTGGTTGATTAACACTACTAACTCTATACGAGTCGAATACTTCAATATACCATTCAATAGGCACATTCCATAACATCAATCACCGCCCAAGCAGGTCTCTGTGCGGTCTCCATTTAGACCCGTAATAAAACCTCTTTTTGACGTATCCGTGGCAAAATCCCTAACTGATATGACCCCTTACTCCGTTAAGGTGTTAAGAAATCACCTAAACAACACCCTGAAAGCCACTCTAAAGCTTTATGTGTACGGTTAAAATTTAAGTGTAGTGGAAAAACCGTTTATTAAAGCTCAAAGGAACCGCCGCACCGGGCGGCGCCTTTGATACGAGCGGTATAATTATGTAAGAGCGAGCAGCTAGGACGCGGGATTATAACTCGAATTGATATTAACGGCTAACAATCAAAAGCAAAAACTATGCAATTTTTGTGTTTGTTTACTAAGACATGTACATAGTGGTCTTGAAAGGGAAAGCTTTCAGTATAAGCACAAAAAGAAATAAACAATATCCCGTCACCCCAAGGTTACTTGGATGATATTGCTATCCAGCAATAAGGCCGCGTATCCTTAGTGAGAGCTGGAGTCTGTGCTAGGTTGGGCGTTACAGATCACCAGGCTCACTCCCTCTAGGTGTGTAAAGAACGTAACATCATATTTAAAAAAATACGATCATAGAGATAATATACCCGACTACCACATCAATGTACAACAGTTAGCTCGAAATCGCCACATAGGATGAGCATGGCTCGATTTAATGTTATTTTTATTTATTATTATTATTATTAGGTATACTTTTTTAATTTGACTTGTTTTTATGTGACATTTTTTTTTTTAAAGTTATTAGATGCTTTTAAAAGTATGAATTGTATTGAATTGTATTTTCTTAATATGATCCACGGACTGAAATAAACAATTATTATTATTATTATACAGAGTGTCAGTCATGTAGCCTTACGTGTTTGTTTATCAATGGTTAATGTTGTTTCTGTATCGAATAACACTCTAACAATTTTGTTAATTGCTAGAATATTGTTTAGCCGTGGTGGGTATTTAGTCGATCATGCTATAATCCGTATTTAAGAATTAGTAAGTAAGAAACGCATGAAATAAACTCACGCTAACCTCAAAACAAATTTGTCGATTGATATCTGACCGATGCACTGAAGTTAGTCCAGAGATAAACTAGGGGTCTCATGAGTTTAACTTTAGTACCATAGATATATCATGGTTTAGTGATAAACTTCATTTTATAATATGGTTTTATTATTTATTATTTACTCCATGGTTTAAACCTAGTTTAAGCCCAGCATTTTAATTAGATCGGGTTTTGTAATAAGACGGATAACGTTTAACCAAGCCCTATAAAAAATTTAAAAAATACAATAAGTGAACCTCCAAACATTATATAAAAGATGCGATTTGTAATTTAATGCTTTTTTTTATTGAAGCACAGCGAGTGAAGCTTCCTTGGAGTCCATTTAAATAGCACAATTTTTGAACATAATTCCTCCTTCCCTCCATTCCTCAACCGGTATGCATGAAATTTAAAACTAGCATTAAAATACATTTCTACAAGTCGTGACGAAGCTCTAAATTTGAATTTCGACCTGTGACCTGTGATATTTGAGGTCAACGGTCACCATTTTGTCTATGGGAAAAATATTCAATAATAATATTTTTCGCGAGCAAATGTGCATTAAGGGTGAAAACAAATAATAAGCAAAAAAGAAAAAGAAAAACTGTTGCACTTTGATACGGAATTTATCTTGTCTAGATAACTAGATAACTAGATAAATTTAGTTTTTGTGCTATAAAGCACAAAAACTAAATTAAATTTTGTACTATTGTACATATGTACCTATACGATTGCACTTTTAGCGCTTTCCAAAATAAAAAACACATTTTCACCTTTAATATACCTACCTATATAATTTAAAAAAAGATTCATCAAAACCTATGTCTGAAGTACCACACTACTGTATGGATGTAAGACATGGACAATAACAAACAAAGGCAGAGAGAGATTGGAGTCATTTGAAATGTGGTGCTAGAGGCGAATGGAAAAAATAAAATGGATTGAAAAGAGATGAAATGAGGAAGTTTTGGGAAGAGTTGGAAAGGAGAGAAGTCTTTTGAATGAAATATAGAGAAAACGGGGGAAAATGTTTGGACATTTCTTGCTTGATTACGAATTTGTAAGAGTAATAATTGAGGGGAGGATAGAAGGGAAAAGAAAGAGAGGAAGATCACGAATGGTGTATAGTGAATAAATATAGTAGATCAAAGTGAAAAGCTATAGAGAGGTCAAAGAACTGGCTATCAAACGCGAGGAGTGGAGGAGGCTACACCGATAAGAGTCTGGCTCTTAAATAAGATGATGATATGATCGCACCCTCGTTGTAATAAAGAGGCGATAAGTATTATAAGGTAAAATTATCAGGAGAGAGGTTTATATATTCAGCGAATTAAATTAATGGATAACTTTTTATGCCTAATAGGAGTCATAAAATGTCACATGTATCATGTAATGTAAAATAACATTAACACATGTATTTTTGAGATATTTTGTGAAATATTATTATAATTATCATTGACCTAATTAATACAAAGATCGAACTCATAGAAAATAGTTATTTGTTATGCAAGGCTGCAAAGTTGTGTGACGCGAGTGTTTGTGTTGAAACCTGAGCAAGCGAAGCGCTGTAAGATAGAATACTGATCGTAGCGAGCGTTTCAAGCCACGAGACGCAAAACAACTTTGCTACAGAGCGAAATACACAACTTTTCACCTCACTATAGCGAGGAAAACGATGAAAGAAAAGCAGTTGAACTATAAAAAATCAGTTTAGTTCTTCCACAGATTAAAATAATTTAATAAACAAAATTAGTGATCGTTGTGAATTTAATATCGGCAATGATAAGAATAAAACATACAACCGATTTATATTACATAAATAATGTACGACAAATCGCGTAGTTGAACGTCTTACAACGTGTTTTTTCATCGAAAGAAAAAGTTATTTACACCCAGTCCATCGTTACGTTCGAATTCCAAAAACCTTTTCCACGCTAGCGTGGAAAAAACGCTTTTGCGCGCAGACTTCTATTCGGAAAGATCCCTTGGAGTATGGGCCGGGCACTGGTGTGCGACGCCACGTGTGCCGACACACTTGCCCCAGCCCATCTCCAGCACACCAGCAAGAGAGCTCCGCA